GGAGTCATTAAATATTGTAGAAGTAAGCTACATTTTATATATACATATATATACATATTATATATACATATTATATATACATATTATGTCTACAGTATGTATACACACATTTATGATTCCATACATTTTTCAATTAAATTTATTATTCAAAAATAGGTATGTTCCCAAGCAGAACTAGTCACGGTAATGCCAAAATGACGTTAAAATTATATTAAATGATATCAAATGAACTCTAAAATATCATGTTGGAAATATCATTTTGACATTATTTTGATATATTAATGATCAATCAAACTGCTTTAGACATAATCTAACGGAAATAAAAATAACATGAGTAAACTTAACTTAATTAATGAATAATTAAAATAAGGCGAGTTTCAATCAATTAAAATTCGCCTTATTGCGAGGTTATGAATAAGTTTACTGTTATTTCCATTTCCATTAAATTATGTAAATCTAAAATATCCTGATTCATCGGCTTAAGTTTACGTCTTACGATCACTTGTTATGGAATTTTGTGTGCGGTAACCTTTTATAAGACGCGATAAAGAGTCTTTTTCTGTAATTCATCCGTTTTCTTAACATTTACAATCAAAATATTGATCATGATGTGTTAATAAAGAGTTAATTTCAGTTTGTTAATTTTGAAAGTTTTAAATTTTAAAGCAACTTGTATGTTTGAAATCAAATTTACAATTGACATTGTTACTTATAAGAATCCAGCAAACGAGAATGGATTGAAATGAATTGAAATTCAAATTTTCAGAAATATTGATTCACGAATGTTAAAATGAATTCTTTTCAATCTTGAATGCATTTTTATTCATTTATAGAAATTGCATTTATAGAAATTGGAATATATCTCTATGCTTTTCAATCTAAAAATAATATTAATTTTTTCTGTGCACAACACACACATTGTGAATATTGTTCAATTCAAAATTTTGAATAGGAAATGCAATTTTTCAATCCAATTGCATCCAATTGACTCTAGTTGTATTCAATTGAATCCAATTAAATCCAGAAGAAAAAAATATTCGCTGTGTAAAATATGCATTTGGATAGAAAAAAATTTCAATCCTTTTTAATCCATTCTCGTTTGCTGGGCTACAATATTGTGTGAGACTCATAGTAAGGAAATTGAGCCAAACATGAGTATCGGGTAAGAGCCGTGGTTTGTACAAAGTTTAATTTTTTTTTTTAATTTGTAAGAGAAAAGTATAGTAAAGAGTTAACAAAATTAAGTTTTACTAAAAAATTAAATCAAATTTTTTCGAAGACGCTATATTGTGTAGACTGTTATATTTGTTATGATAAAGTATTCTCGTAATAAAGTATGCATGAGCGCGCGCGCATGTGTGTGTGTGTGTGTGTGTGTGTGTGTATGTGTACGTAATTATTAAATTGCAACTTCATTACATTACATTACATTACATTATATATACATATACATATACATTATATTACATTACATTTAATTACAATTTTCATGCAATATATTATTTTTTCATACATAATTATTCAATTACAATTTTCATATAGTATTTAATCAATTATTATTTTTAATTTACTTATTATTGTTTAATA